ACACACACACACACACACACACACACACACACACACACACACACACACACGAAGAACGGTATCCCCGCTATTGGACTGCTGCTATTACGATGTTTACGAAAGTAAATCATTCGAAAAGTCAACAGGGTTGCAGAGAAAACGTGGTTATAACTACAATACGATGAGAATAGAACAGAATTCTATCCTCAGCACGCCAGATGAGTATTCCCAACCTGTCAATGAAAGTAAAGACCCGGGGATGAAATATGTATGACTTATACTGTAGGAATGAAATGAACAGGTTGTGAAAAACAATCAATAGAAAACCGTATTCACGCGCGCGGTGAATTGAGGATAAAACGGTTGATGGATCAAACGGGGCTGAAAGCAATTGGTAACCGATTTTGCATGACCATTCATTGAACGATTAAATATGCTTACATTTGCAGACAAATAAATATATGCAAAGCGAAAAAACAAAGGACCAGGACAATGAAGCGAACCGGTAGAGAATGAGAAGAGAAGCAGTACGGATCCCACGGCCACTGTCCCGTGTGTGTGTGTGTGCGCGCGAACGATGGGGCAAGCCCTCGCGTTTTTTGCAAATACATGCGTGCGTGTGTGAGTGCGTGTACGGGCAGATCGATAATCACGCGAGAGCAGACTCACAGGACTTTTGCCGCATTGAACACCCACGGGGGCACAAACAAGCACACAGATGAATTAGAATGATAATGGTGATAAAGTTGTGATCGGAATCAGGTTAACTTCAACACACACAAACACAGGGAGGAGGGTCCTGTGCGTGTGTTGAGATTGACGACCTGATGAGACGAGCAAAAACTCGCTCGCATCGGTCGTACTCCGGTGCATGCACGTAAACCAAATCATAAACAACAGCAACAACACGGAATAATGGAGACGTGGGCAGCACAGAGAAAACGAAATTGAATGAGGCGAGCAGACAGACAGAAGAGTGGGCCACTTGTCTGCTTCGTGTGCATGTGTGTGCTCACACAAACACACACACACATGAAGTCGACGGAGAGCGGATAGACCACACGGCTCCGATTGTGAGCATGAGCATGCAGACAAATGATTTTACGATGGCAGAATACGAGAGAGAGGCGTGTACATACAAATTGAGAGTCTTTGACGAGCCAACATGTCGCTCACATTGGAACAATCTGAGTTGGGACGACAACCACTTGTACTTCCACTCCTCCTCCACCCCCAACCTCGCGAATGTACCCAGGGCGGAACTGAGAAATTTCATTAGGCACTTGAAAATCACGCAGGCCCGGAGCAATTCTTGAATTGGATAGCAATGGATTATATCACTACGTCAATGCATCACCGGTTCCCGTGATCTCACGGTACCCATCCCTAGGACATGGTAACCGCTGTTTACAGGCATTCAGCGTTATGGCAGAGAGTCGCAGACAGTGCCGTTCGTTGCATGAACTCAATATCCTTCCAAACAAAAGCTAATCTGAATAGATCTGTATATTCTCTTTGAATTTCCTATCAAATGTACAGTTTTGTATTTGTAACTTGTGTAAGCATGTATGCTTACATTTCAGTTAAAAATGTACATTGTCGTCACAGAGAATGAAACAAAAATAACCAAAACAAAAGGTGAAGAAAGTCGGTGACATACGTATTATGTACAAAGCATTTGACGCAGTTCATATGAGACCTGTTCCGTCAACGTGAGTAGTCGGGTGAGGTAGAGTACAGAGGAATTTTTATGAGAATAATAATACTAATATTATACTTTATAAAAAAGCAAAATGTTCCATGATTTGCATGTGGGCCGAATGCTGCCAGGTTGTCCAGGCCAATTCACCACGGTCTTCGATTAGCCATAGCCTGACTCGGCAGGCAGCGGGGCGGGGTTTGAAAATGGTAATCCACTCTGGGCCGGTATCCAGTACATCGGATCATACTCCCTTTGGACGGAGTCAAACGTGTCCAAAGGGGTCCAATTGAGCCGGTGACCATTGCTACAATCGGGATGTGTTGTTTGTTCGTTTGAAATCACCGATTTTAGCTAATCCCTCTTAGTGGGCTACTAATGGTTCACCAATCTGGTTATAGTCCCGACGGTTGGCTTTTCGTCCTCCTAATTTTGTGAGAAAGCACCTCTGCCACAAGAAGACAGTGAGTAGGGCTTCCTCGGTAGAATCGGCCATTCCAGTAGCTTGGCGGTATCGAGACTATTTCGCGAGGTGCAAGGGAAGGGTGATCAGCCGCAACCCGAGACATCCACCCCCTACTACTTACTGTATTAGGGCTTTCGGAGGCAGCTAGGAAGATTATATTTGTGGTATAATCCGTATCCTTCTAGGGTTGTGCCTTGTCTTGAGCTTGTATTGTATTGTATTGTATTTGTAACTTGTGTAAGCATATATGCTTACATTTCAGTTAAAAATGTACATTGTTCGTCACGCAGAATGAAATAAAAATGATCAAAACAAAAGGTAAAGAAGGTAGGTGATATGCGTTTTATGTACAAAGCATTTGACGTAGTTCATTTGAGACCTGTTCCTTTTCGGTGAGTAGTCGGGCCAGGTAGGGTACAGGGGAATTTTTATAAATGTTAATGCGAGAGGGTAGCTGTCGAAATGAGGAGCGTGTGGACGGATGGGAAGTACAAGACGATAGGTCAGGGTGTAGTGGGTGAAGAGGGTCACCTAGATTCTTGTGAGCAAATTTAAAACAAGAGTTGATGTGACTAACAATGAGATCTGTGATTAATAAATCAATTGGGATTAGTGATGCACGGCTGATTATCACCAAACTGCGGCGAATTGTTTTGAAGTCGTGTTTTAAAAGA